GGAGCAGCTTCTATTACGAAAGCTCTAGTCGGTACTAATAGTATAAAACAACATGCCATGTCTACAACCAATCCAATGATGAGTAAAATACGTCCTATTAGTAAATGATGCGGCCATAGCTTATCACCGATTATTCGACTATAGGATATCATCGCTGCAGATATTAAATTTATAATAAATAAAACTATGATAAATGGCCGTCGTCTTCCAATCCGAGAAGTACATTGATCAGATAAATTGCCGATAATTGGAGTTAAAAATAATCCGATAACAGTTGCAACAATCACAGGAATTAGTGTCAGTCCGATAGGTATTCCTAGTTTTAATTGCAACGCTACAGCAAAGACGCTATAGAATTTATACAAAACTTCAGGAGGAAATGATGCAAGTGATAATATCGCTAGTTTGATTACTAGTCTCTTATCGTATTTTGAGTTTGATTTAAGCTCTTGTGTTTCATCCTCGCTTCCATCATGATTATTGCTGCCGTCCACTTCTTGTATTTTATAAGTGTCGTTCTCGTCTCTAGACTGATCCATTAAGAAATGATAATAAATGTAAATAATTAAAACATTAAGAAAATGATTTTGTTAGCTTCCGCCTTAGATAAATGTAGAAGGATTCATAGAGGATAGTAATTATATAAAGATATAGAGAAACTACAGCTAACACAAGCTAATATTCTATCATATAGACTACAATTAGGTAAACATATGTCGCTTTATAGAATATAAGCAGACAAAGCCTAATAACAATCAAGTGCATTAACTGTGAATGGATTTAATGTAATATTCAGAATATGTCATTATCGAGAAAATCTAAAATAATACCGTCCAACTTCTTGATTGGTAACACTGCAGTGACTGGTACCTACCAGGGATTTCTAAAAGTCCCTACATATACCATACTGTACTTTATACTTTTACACCGCATTCGGATGCATAAAATGTAGAACAATCAATCCATTTTTCTTTCCTGCTATATTATGGTCTAATTTATTAAGATATACTGTAATTTTGAGCTTCCATAAATTTCACTTTCCGTGGCTTAATCAAGCTATTATATCAAAATGGGATGGTGAATAACGTGCATAAAGTAGCATCTACACAGGCAGTGATCAAGATAATTACGATTTAGCAATTTATCCAACGAACTCTCAATC